CCGTAAGCATCTATTAAATTTGTTTTTTAATGGTCCCGAGCCAGACTCTTCGACAATAGCCAACTAACGACCAAGTGGTTTACCTGCTACATGATGGGGTTTTTTTACTATCATGCTAAATTTGATTTGGGTTATCTGTTGTCGATAATTAGAGTGGAATGCTGGTAGATTGGCTGGAGAGCTAAGCGTTCTCCCACTGAAATACAGCTTTAGTAGATTAATACATTACATATTAGTTTATTATGCGTTGCGCTCCGTTTCCCTTTTAAAGCGCTGTATATTGCACATTGTCAAAATTTTCTTTTAGACAACCACTTTACCAACTCAATGCGGCTCTTCTTCCCAAACTAGTAGTAGTTATTAGAACTTGTAAAACTACCCAGCTACAGACGCAAAAAGAGGTTCTTGCTTAAAAGAGGATCGAACAAAATTCACCCATACTCAAAATGCCCTCCCGTAATCACTTTGCTCGTTCTCCTTTCTAGGAATTTAAAAAAAATTAAATTCAGCCCGTAATGTGGTTGTACTAAACAATGTGTTAACTCAGTGGTATTTTCCCTACCATTCTCACTAGAACTTCTTTTAATTTCAAATCACTTCCCTTGTGCAGAATTTAGCATTCTCTGCAAAGCAGTAACATAAAATGACCTAACTATGTGTTGTCTGAAGAACGTGAACGACGACGGCTAATTTCTTAAATTTCTATTTATAATTTAACGCTGTGTTCCATATTCATTTTCAAGATACTTTTGACAGTGAGAAACAAACTAAATGACTTTAGAGTATTGCGAGATTCGTAGGTAAAATATAAGTTCATTGTTTAATCGATGTTGTCCACGGCGTCGCCGTTGTCGTTTCTTAAACTCCCTATTACATCCTCACCTAACGACATTCTCGTGATTCAGGCGGCTGATCAGCTGTACTTCACGCATGATCCTCTTGTTTAACTGAGTACTCTTTGGATTCAGAGGAATCCGCTTCACAGCATAAAGGCAGTTGTCCAGCTTATTTCGTACCTGCAAAAAATAAAGAATACATAAATGAAATAACGACAAATATTTAAACTGAATGGCGAATGAACTTCTTGGGTCTTTCTTTATTTCAGTAACGAGCTTAAAATTCCGCAACTTTCTTTTTCTATTTAACTACGCGAGGATTTCGACATTGCTCATCCCAGCAGTATGGCGATTGAGTATCACATATAAACTTAATGATCGCCCAATCCTCAGTAGAGTACAGCACTCTGAAGCGGAATCCGAAAGGTCTGTTGCTTGATTTATCGTGGGGCCTCGAAATTTTTCTTTGTCCCAGGCTAGAGATAAGACACAAAAACAACAGATTCCTTCATGGCAGGCTACTGTCGCTCTTTCTTTTTTAGCCAATGAACGTAGCCAATAAAGAAATTGGCACATGAAAAATGTATCTTTGCATGCTTTGTGTGTGTTCCCATCATACTAACACAACCATGTCTCCTATGAAAGGTACGGTCGATCCTGCCAATGGAAACCAAGCATTATTTAGATCTAGATTTTTACGGTGTTCTCGTTCTCGTCCTTGCAAGTTTAATTGATACTAAAAGCTCAAGTATACCTTGATGACATTTCCAAAACCTCCTTTTCCGAGAAACTGCAGCTCCTCATACTCGCATTTCACTCGGGATTTTCCGGGAACTCCCGAGAAGAATGAGAAGTTGGACATAGGCTCTTCGCGATCCGGTTGGTCAATCAGGTGCGATGGCCCATCATCCCCTGCGTTTCCATTGTTCTTCCCAACTTCCTGTTGGCCGTTCGCTAAACTACCGGATACGACTGGGGTTAAAA